TCACAATTTCATACGTCATTCGTAAGGCGCTTCGACCCATGTATTCCTCCTTTCGTTGTTATTCTGCTAGAATTTTAGGTTAACTTGATAAGGGGCCATGCTAGAGTAAGTTGGCGGTTAATGCCAACTTTTTTCTACTAGAGGTCCCATTTTACGAAGCTGTAGTTTAGTCAGTGTACAATGAATTCGGAAGCGATACAATGTGCCTCATAGAACGGACAATTCTCTTTCGAAAAGTGCATAACATTACGTGGAAGCATGGTATGAGGAAAAATTTCTCTTCGGAAAAATGAAACTTCTTATCGGACAACCAAATACATGAGCCGTGCTGTGATTCAACCCTATCGACAAAAACATACTCAACTCTATGGTTCCGTTATTTTCCAATACGGGTGCGTGAAAGAGAGGCAGGATAATTGGAGTGTTTGAATGATTAACTGTTTGCCATTGGGCAGCATCGTCCAAGTGCTATGTACTTTGGTTTTCACCCAGTTTTCAATAAATTCAGATATCCTCATCGAGTGTTTGTGATCGTTTTTCTAACTGTTATGACTAGAGGAGCACCAGGATTTCATTTTATGTTTAAAATTTATTATTTTTTTTCATAATTTTCCACTTATACGAAAACTTGCAATCAGTATTTTGCAGAAGGAATCGAAGCACCTTCTAAATGAGTCTTTTCACATTTTCGTTCTTCCTTCACAACTTGGAAGCATCTGTAATGTTTAGGTGTCATCACAAGATTCGGGACGCGCAACGGGGGGATTGGCGTCCTCGCTGTCCCCTATGGATGAAGCAGGGGAGGTCCTTCCTATGTATGAGTTCGAGATTCCTAACACCCTAGTCGGTTTAGTAATTGGAATCAAAGGCAAAACAATAAAGGTATGTATGGATCTCTGCTTTAGAACATTGACAGCTATGAGGTGGCAATTCAGTGGTATTACTTACAGGAGCTTAGTTCAAGAACTGATGTACGAATGCTTATACGACAACACCACACCCCAGAGAAAGTAGACACTCATCAAATATGTCAAGTATGTTGTTGTCCGGCTTGATTTCATCCTTCAAAGGTCTTTGATTCTTGATGTGTTTGTCACATGGACCTTATGGTGTTTTTCAGGTCCGCGGGAAGCGCGAACAAATCAATCGCTGTTTGCAAATGTTACGTAGACGGTTCCCACCGGCACGATTTCCAGAATTAAATTTACAGCCTGTTTTACCACCACCTCTAGCAAGCAATTTATTTGATGCCCTAGCTTCACAACCTAGCTGGGTACGCGTTAGTTTTATTTATACCAATTTTTGTCCATCTTCATTTTCTTACATTTTATGGTAATTCCATTTAATCAACAGTAAGGCTTGCTTTTAGCTTACTCTTCCGGATGCGATACCATGTGAAGTTGTGTGTTCTTCGGTTATTGATCCAGGGCACTTCTTTTTACAACAACCCACACATCCTTCGTTTTCTTCATTGTCCCATCTCGACATGTATATGATACGCTTGTATAGCCAAGGATCGGATATACCGGACTTGCCGAAACCTTGTCAAAGTGAGTATTTTCCATACTGAAATATGATTAGCAAGCAATTGTTGGTCTCAGCTCAAAATATTGCTTTACAGCTGGCCTACTTTGTGCTGCCCCAGTGCTAGGAGCATGGTTCCGCGCAGTAACTGTGAGCTACTACCCGGATAGTGACGAAGTTATGCTGAGATTTGTTGATTATGGAGGTTACACTCGATTACCACGAAGCGAATTGCGACAAATTAGGTATGCCATTTATTCTTATTATGTTTACTAAAGCATGTTAAGTGAATACTCTCGGTACATTGTTATGTTTTCATTGCAGGACAGATCTGATGTCATTGCCGTTCCAAGCCATCGAATGCTACTTGGCACACGTCCAACCAATTGACGGTATGTCTCCAGTGGCTTTTCAGGTTTTTTGTTGTGAAGCGGGCTTAGTGCAGTATTTATTGTTTGCCAGTTGTTGTTGTTGTTGTTTGCATTCTATTTAGAAGGTCTCTAAAATGCGGGAATTCGCCAATGTAGCACGTTTTTGTATGTATGTAGTCATCTTCGTGCTCGCATTGCTCTGTAGCAACAGTGGATTATTGTTTTCATTGCTAATTTCATTTAATTACTTTTTGATTGATAGTAATTGTTGCTTCAGGGACGTGGCAATGGGGAGAGGCTGCGTTCGCTCACTTCCAAAAGTTATGCATGGGCAAAGTCATCAATGCCACAGTGGTTGGTTTCAATGTCCACGATAAAGTTCCTATGGTTGAATTGACTGTGCTGGATGAGGAGAGCAAGGTGAGCATACACGTAGTTTTCTTTTTGACTCCGTTCGATTGGCGGCTAGTTTGCTGTGCGTAATTGTTCGCAAAATGTGTATTCAGCCGATACGCGTGGATAAGGATCTGATGGAAGCTGGGTTCGCAAAGGCGTCAGATCCATCAAAATTACAAAAAGTATCGTCAACTAAGGGCCGTCCACTATCAACCAACCCTACGCCCATGGTAGCTGCTGTCTGACATGATGTCCGCATTCTGTCAAGTCTTGCCTTTTCATGGTAACGCGAACGTTTCTGTACTCTATATTCGATGACTTGAGCAGCTCTCAGATTTCTCATATCTACATACATTTAGTTACTTAGACACGTACGCAGTCACGACAACGTTTCTAGAGCTAGAGTCTAGCCGCCCATAGTTTTTAGCTGTTTTGTTGTGTTTGTGGTTGGTTGTTTTTTTTTCTTATCGGTTCCTGGTTCTTCTATCGTTGGTTATATGTTTCCCGTTCAATCCTACCATTCTGTTGTTTATATAGTCTATAGGCAGAGTTTATCCGCCCGGTCTGCTATGTGTTCCACAGTTGCCTTTTCGCCAGTTTGCTATCCGATGGTTCTGTCCTCGACAAAAATCATTTCGTCACTTCCTATTCTAGAATCGACCTCATCGTCGATGGTTTCATCCTGTTCCTATTCCTTATTTGACTGTTCAACGGAATTTCTATAATTAAGATTGTTGATTTGTTGACTGAATATCTAATCGCTGACTATTCATTGTTTTAGTATAGTTTTAGCGAGAGATGTTGTCCAGTAAAGGACCTGACTGACGGATATATTGTATTTACCCTATTCACAGACGGGAGGCGAGGATCCGCATTAGAGAGCTGATTTTCGTTTACCGTATCGTGTCGTAGAATGTTCTTTCTCTCTTTCATCTGATCGCAGACAGTCTGTACGGAAAGACCTGCCCCACTTCCCTCACCCTCTAATACATGTATATTCTTTTCATCCCCCATAGGTTCGATTTCTAAACATCATTAGCTTCGTACGACTCATTATTTTACCGCTTTTTGATTTTCGTCGTTTCAAAAAAGTACTATTTCAAATGCTTGTTTGTTTGCTGTTCTATACGAATTGTCGGTGTTTTTATGATTACTAATAAGTGAGTGAGGGGATATGATGTACATAAAAAATAGACATTTCAAGTACTAGGAAAGAATGTTCAGAAGAGCCTGGGTAGTGCACAAAGAGGTCACTGAAAATCTGTAGAACGATATACACTCGAGCTCATTCTCCGCTGTCACAATAGTTTGGTTTCTAAAAATATTAAAATTGTTTCGAACTAATTGTTTATGAAATAAACATTAAGATTTTGAGGTTTTGCAAGGATTTTCGACCCAATAGTGTCGGTCCTCACCATTTACATTATGGCCGAAAGCTTTTGTAAGGCTATGACCAACCCATTTGTAAGGCCAGTTAAAAGTTGATTCAATACGGTTCTGGGCAATTTGGTCCTGTCCTATCTTTTTCTTTTGAATTTTTGGTTCAAATTATAAATTTTATTGAATCGGGTTCAAATTTCCTTGGATAAAATGCAGTGGTGTTAGGTAAAACAGCAACAGTGGTGGAGAGTTTCTAGCGATTCTCGTCACGGCGGTGCTCACCGAGGCGTGGAAACTCGTAAATAAGTCAGTGCATTCTTTGTTGTTGTTGTTTTGAACAGTGTTGGACCTACGGCTCTTCTGAATTGTTCTTTCTTTTACTTGAAAAGTGGTAGGGTTGGCGTGAATGGAGGAGCGAATATTGCGGAGTGCGCCATGCACAAGACTTTAGTTTTAGGATGGGTAGATGGATTTCGTGTTGACTTGTGAGAAGTAAGTCGATGTACAAATTAGTGTTTTCATCTCGTATAAGTAATGCTAAATTACTGCTTACGTAGAACTTGTAATCTTGAATTACGTGGGCAGTACCCTGGGCCTTTAAGTCAGTGAGGCGTGACTTCCAGCCACAATCAACCGTCCGCCGAGGTTTTGCTGAAAATGGGGTCGTATTTGTGATTTTTAGGGATTTGCAGTCATGGTGGGAGAAATGTGGTGCAATGGGCAGAGATGTGAAGAATTTGTTGAATTTGATGTTCTAAATGCTGTATTTACCGGTTTACGGACTACTTGATTTTTCCTCAATGGTCCTGCCGCGATGGCTAGAGCACAGACGATTAGAGAACGGGTGAATGCCCTAGGACTAAGCCTTGGAGAGGAGAGGGACCCGCGAGAGAGCGGGTTAAAGGGCTGAGTTCAAGTAGTCCGTCAACCGTATTTACCACTCTCCAATTTTGGTTGATTTTGGGGGCGGGGTTGGAGTGTGTCAAGTGATGGCAGATTCAGCGACACCATCGACACTTCTCACTTCAGTAGCGGTTCGTGAAAATTTTTAAGTCAGCATGGGTATGACCCGTGAACCTGACCCTGCTTCTAGGCACTGCGCCACGTCAGCCCGTCCTGAAAAAATACATGAGCGAAATATAGCAATAATAATGTCCAAATATTTATCACAGCAGCATTATGTACAACTGATGACTTGTGGGAGATAATTGTGTTCACCCAAACACATGACCTAGGTATCTGCTTATTAGAAAAGCGGATCAATAAATCTCGTTCAAGAAACGGGGAAATAAATCAATTGACTAAAACAATTAAAGCTATCATCTCGTCAAGTGATCAGTAAATGAAATAGTAGTAGTGTAGTAAGTGACGCAAGATAAAAGAGGTCAATATTCACAGATCACCGGAAGGTCAGGAGAGTGACTCAGACAGGATGAATAAGCGAACTAGCGGCTTGGCAGTGTCCCGTATGCGGATAGAGGGGTGGGGGGCTGATGAGGTTTGATGGTGGTGGACAGGGGAAAAAATGAATGGCTGCCTGGTTGAATGGCTGCTTGACATAGTTCAATATGAATGAAATGACGGTCGTAATTAATTGAAAGACGTATGCAATCACACATACATTGGGAGGGGGGGGGGCAAGAAGAGACGAGCGCTCAATCGTAAAATATAACGGAACTAGTCGATCTAATTTGCGCCGGCGGTTGTAAGCAAGCGCATTACAACCGGAAGCCCTGAGCAAAAACTGAAATCGGTGCAGGACCAGTTGAGCTTGCTAGTAGCTGGCTAACGAGTGATGGGCACGACGCACGTGAGCGATGATGAGTCGGTCGTCCCATCAAAGTGCCTCACTCTTCACTCTAGACTTGTCGCTTAAAGCGCAACGAGAATCGGGCTGTTCGTCCATTTGGATGGTAAATGATGAACACTTGATTGCTTTCGGAGATCGTGTCTTCTTTAGGTCGATAACAACAGCTGAAAAAATGATATTATCGGATTATCAAGGATTATCACAAAGTAAGTAGTATGACAAGTCGACCAAGCTTACCCCAGGAAGGCCTTTCAGGTCGTGCACAGCTTTTTCAAAACGCTATTTTGCATTATATAGGGACATGTGCTTGGGACATGTGGATGCTATGCTTCATTTTTGCTAAGCACCCCCCTCTGAACGGCAAAAAAAGGAAGAAAAATTGGTTCATGGTTCGATCCTGCGTGGTGACACAGTTTTCCATTCCGATTGACACTTGCCTGATGTCGCAAAGGTGGTACCCATAGCTCGTAAGATCAATGTCAGATTTGCGAGCGAGCGATTCTCTAGCGTCAGCGGTCGCGTCGCGGTCAGCGAATCGCCTGATTGGCTAGTGCCGCAACGCGACCGCGGACGCTGGCGAATCGCTCGCAAAGCCTGACATCGACCTAATGGATGCCATATTACCATCAGAATCGTTACTAATCCATATTAGTAGATTTTTGCCTGAAATTGTTGTCGAAAAGTGCACTACTTGAGGTTTTTAAATCCCGCTCTTAGCATTAAAAGGGCTGCTCAGGAAAAAAAAAACCATAGTTCCATGTTCCAGGCATGTGCCCCTTCATAATGCAAAAACCGTCATAAAAAGTTGGGCACGACCGAAAAGACCATTCTAGTTAAGCTAATACATTGCGTTGAATTGCATTTATATGTGTACGATTGATAGAACTTTGTGAGATGTTGAGGAAATTCTACTCGCAGGCACCGGCTACGTTGTTAGATTTCAACGGAAAACTCGGCATACCGTATGAAAGTAGGTGAGAAAAAGGAGCGGCGGGAGCTTTTGCTTTAACCCACAAACTCTTTCCCGACAATTTGCCTGGAAAGAAACGCAATTTTGCTCCTCCATTCTACTCCTCCAAGTCCGAGCGGCACATCTTAGGCAGGTTATCATCGATTTCCTTCATAAAACTGTGCTGCAAACAGTGTGAGGAATAGTTAAAAGACCCGCGTGGCATGTAAAAGAAACTTTCAGTAATAGCTGGAAGACGAAAAGGAACATCGATTGTTCAAGCTAAATTTCTTCGGGAAGTCAGAATTATACAAGTATTTATGTAAGAATACCGCCATTGATTTCCATTTTGGAGGTTCCTTAATGGAAATATCGAATAAAGAATCAGTACTGGAAGAATGTGCTTGGAAAGGGTAAGGAAATGGAGACGGTTGAAGTGCAGGGAGCATACACCCATTAGTGGGGCCCCGTCAGAGACAAGTGAAGGCGTAAAAGAGTAAAGAGTAGAAGGTCAGAATGCATTGTGTCTGATGGTTCTAGCTCAAGTGGACTGCATGGGTCCGAGGTAATGAGTACATTTTTGGGCACTATCACAAAATACGGCATGTTGATCGGCAATACATTCGCAACCTAGATCTCATTTTTTGTCAAAAATGGGGACTAAACCTTATGTGGAGGAGGAGAAACTCCAGATTGCGTGAGCAATTTTTTTATTTACCCACATGTTCCTGCCCTCACCTGACCTTAGTCCTAGAGCATGCCCCCGTATCTTGCGATAGCGCCCATTCTTGTTTTCTCAATAGGTTCTGACAATGAGGTTAACCTTTTAGTTCCAGATTTCTGAAGAAATGGCCATGTAACTGGAAACAGTGTGAGCAAAGGTCAAGGATTCATCAGTGGAGAGAGTTGTTTTGGTAGAAGTTGACAGTGTATGAGAGGAGAAGTGGGAATCATTCAGCGTATAGGGGTTTTTGGGAACATTTCCCAAGAAATTTTCACGATTTCACGAAATTTAGAGACTTTTAAGAATCGGCTGATTCACAGGAACTTCAAAATTTTTGTTTTTTACGTCTACCCCCCCCCCCCCCCTCCACGAGCTCAACGGATATTTCTCTGGGTAAAGTCGAGTATATTTCCAAGTATGACGGAAAGATGGGATAGGGCCTGGAAATAGAGGTGAGTTGGAGAAATCAGCCGAGGGTCTTTTTGGCTCGCAAGGGATCGTATTACCCAAAACTCCCCCGATCGATGGTTCGTCCATCACGCAACCCTGACAAATTGAACTCTGCCAATGGTAAGGCCGACTACTCACTAGAACTCATACCATTCACTGCCACTTTTTCAACCGTTCGAATGGCCTCTTCAAGGGAAAAGCTACGAAACCGATACGGGAACGTTCCGATTTCCGATTTCCGTCCGTTCCTTGCTTCACCTAGGTATTCAAATTATGTTTTCAGCTACCTCGCTTCCTTTTTGTTCCCAATAAATGCTTTTACTGGCCCTCGAATTGACCCTTTTTATTTGTTTTACGCTCCGAAGGAATCTTCTCTGGAAATAATCGATGTTTTTCTTTCCATTTACTACGCATCCCATCTGATCAGGTCAGTTGACGCGTAGATTGCTGAAACAATTGATGGACGACGTCAACCACAACTGATAAGGGAATCTTATCAATGCTAAGTTACGGCCTCCGTCGGTAAGCACTAAAACAGTCGCTTTCTCTCTTTCGTGGACTACTGAGGGTGCAATGATTACGATACAATGGAATCATGGAATTTGTTCAAGAAATAATTCAACGATTGTGTTGCATTTCTGCTGAGATAAGAGAAATGTGTTGTGATCGTTGAGAAATGGAAGGGAACCTGGTGGGGGCGAGAGTGGGGGGGGAGGGGAGGAGAGAGAGAGAG